CACTGGGGCTATGAAGTGGTAAGCTACCTTAAGATGGAAAAGACCAGGAATTTGTTGAGTTAATTTGAATTTTATGTCATCACAGCCATGGGAGGAAGGAACTGAGTAGTCTTAGTTTAAAATGTTTTCAAATCATGCTTCACATTGCTGTCAACCTGTTCATTAGTAAGGGAGCTTTATCTTCCCAGCCTTATATTGCCAACTTCCATAGCCTTGCAGAGGACATTACCTGTTCTCTCTCCAGAAGAGACTGTCTGTGGTCTAGCATAGATAAATTTGAACATTTTAATGTTGTTTGGTCAGAGGATATCTCTGAGATCACAGAAACCATCATGCATGCCCACAGCTTACAAATGCATGCCTGCAGTTTGCATGCTCTAGTAAAGAGCTGTAAGATGAACTCTTACATGTAATTGGTAGACAAGCTTATTACCTACTGCTCTGAAGATTGTGACCAGTCTGGGTCCATGCAGAGTATTGCCAAACTTTGTACTTTTCTCTACCAGCTGTAAGAGAAGATCCAAGAACTGGTGTAGGGCTCTGCCATTGCTGCCAGTTTCTAACAGACGCTTTTATAACATTCATGTAAGCGCTATAAAAATAGATAGCACTGGATTTAAATTCTACAACCATTTCTCTCTCAGTATTTTAGCTCATGTTTCTATTTAAAAACATTACCATATATTTCTCATACCAGTTTCATCTCAGGTTGCTGCCTCTTACCTGATTTTCTGGATCTTCGGCGTTGGATCAGGTACACAATTTTGTTTGGGATTCAGTGTTAGCTGAACAATAAAATACACATGGCAGAAGTCTTCCTTTCATTCTGGTTGGCCTAGAGGATAAGAAAATTGTGTTGCTGGGCCAGCAACGGAGAAGCTTCTGTCTATTGTAACATATTTGTATCTGAGACAAAGGAGTATTTGACTTCTACAAAACTTGAAGGGTTCATTTCCTGTCCCGATGATGAGATACTCATAATGCAAAGAGGATCCTTTTGCAAAGAGGATATGTTTGTTAGTGGCCTGGCCTTAACAGATTTGGAGTCAATTTATTTTAGAGGTGAAACAGACAACCTATAAAAGGCTTAGAAACATTTGCGTTTATGTGCAAAGAATTCTTCTAGAAAAAGTGTCTTATGATTTTGTATTCAAGCAAATAATAGGAATCTGGGAAGAATATATAGTTAGAATTTTTTTCCCCATCATGTATGTTCTGTGTAACAGTATTCCACAGAGATACAAGGTAGGGTGGTCATATAAGTTTGGAAAGTGCTGCTCACTTGTTCTTCCGTCTTGGACATTTATGGTATACATTATATTCAGAGCTCTGAGAAATTTTAAAGTTAGAAATAATGGTTAAACTTTTTAAACCTATTGTTTTCCTCATACTTGTCCACTAAACCCCTTTTATATAATCTTAATACTGAAAAATGGTTTCTCCAAAACATATCTTTATATAATATAGTAAAAAAAAAAATTCCAGAACTCAAATTTCCTAATGTTTAGTGTCTTTTCTTTTTTAACAAAGCACTTTTTGCTTTGTGCCATATGACATTTACTCTGTACCTTCACAGTATTTTATCTGAGGACCTGAGAAAAGTTAAGATTGCAGTCCCGTTTTACAGTTAAGAAAACAAGGTCAACTTAGTAATGGTTACCTAATGAGTTTCAGAATTAAACGTAGGGTTTCCATAGTCCCAGTTATCCTTTGTTTAAGTAAATTCTGGCACCTAAAATTATATAAAATTACGGAATGGTTCTTTTTGACCAAGTCTAAGACAGTGACTCCCTGACCAATAACATTTATCATTGATTATCCTTGGCAGCTCTTGACTGCATTCCCCTCACCTATTTACCTCTCCATCTAAGAGACGTATTTTGTTTCTTTGAACCTATAGAAGGAGGGAGACAGGTTAGTGAAAGCATCATCTATTCCTAAGATTGGTAGGCACAAAAGTTTTCAAGAACCAAATACCTAGGCTCACTTTAGTGGCCCCATCTGTGATCGTCAGCTCTGTTAGAAATAACAGCCTGTCATAATTTCTGAGAGCAGGTCTTTAAATATATCTGGGAGATAGGGTTATCCAAGTTTTCCCATCTTTTGCCGCTCCTTTATCTTAAGGTAACTGCATGCGTGTAGCCAAACAAGCGTCAAAAAAGTTTATTTCCTTGCTGTGTTTGGGCTTATCTCCTGTTAGCCTGTTTTATTGAGTAACTTGAATCAAACCTCTAGAGAATGAGGGCTTTCAGGTTAGGTAGGTGGGCTGTTCATCTCTAGTGCTTTGTCTTGCTGTTTAACAGCTGTATGAAACTGGTCATTTCAGAATTTTTGTTTTCTTATGTTTTTTGTTTCTTACGTGTAAGATGAGGCAGTTGAATTATATTTACACCAAATCCAGCCCTAAATTCGTATTAACAAGAAAAAACGTGGCAGGAGATGAGTTGAAAAATGGGACAATTTTCTTTCTTAAAGTGCTTTTAACATCAGATATGATCCAGTCAACAGTAAGCATCAAAATATGTTGTAAAATCAGGTATTAATTACCCGTTCTTTTGAAACTGAGGCATGGGTCAACAAGGTTTGACCACTTGAGAATCTTTCTTCTGTTGTGACCATGACACCTGGAAGATACTCGTCAACATGTTCCCAGTGGTAGTCTCTTTACTATGTGTTTTTGGAAAAGTTGATAGAGAATATGCTTTGATTTTGAGACTAATGAAAATTCTCCCATACTCAGTTATATACAGCTGTCGACAGAGCCAGAATCCAGGCTTTGTGCCCTCTGTGTTGAAGAGGCAATGCTCCAGAGCCCTTCAAGGCAAGGCTTAACAAGAAGTTCTCAGTGTGTAACTGACCATCAGGGATGAATGTGCTTCCAAAGTATTAATCATCTTAGTTACAATAAGTGAGTGAGTGGTTTCTGGAGATAGTACTGTCTCTCAGAAATCCTCTGATACTTTTGTGCCCAATGTTATACCTCTGTTTGTTCCTACCTTTCCACACAACTCTCCTCTGCTACTCCCCCTACCGCTTTCTTACCTCTTTCTACCCTCTCCCCATTTCCTGAATTCTCGTTGGAATGTGGTGAGAAGACACCTTAGTCATTACCATGGTGGATATTCCTTTCATGGGCTCAAATTAGAATTTAACAGGGAACTGAATACAGTGTGGATGTCTCTACACTTGGAAAGCACCCCTTTTGTCCTTAGGTAATTTAGCTGCCACACAGGTGATACTGGGAGCCAGGGAATCTTTTCCACCAATGTAGGGCTTTGACAACAGTAATGGTGGCATCCTTGGCTCTTATATTCCCAAATACTTCATTTAGTGACAAGTGAAGAGATTTGGAATCTCCCCAAAATTACCAAAATGCCAGCACCCAATCCTAGTCATATATATTGAAGAGGCCCAGGTATTCCACCCAATTCTAACTTTTCTCAACCCTGAATACCTGTTACTACCACTTGGGTTAATTCTGTATAATGCTCAGACCCTACAATCAAGTCAGTTAAGCTAGTATCTTGGTGGGGCCCAAGCATCGACGGTTAACCATATCCCAGTTGGAATAAGTTGTTACTGAGGGACATACCTGGCCTCTCTAGTTACAGCTTAAAATCTTAGTCAAACAGGTGAAAAGAGGTGGCCAAAGATACTAACTTGCTTAAGATCTTGGAGCTAAATTAGTTTGAAGCTACAGACCAGACTCTGGAATGATGCTACCTATACAGGTTTTCCCTGATATCTGAAAGTAGAGCATTCCTATGAAACCTTTCCATAAGCCAAAATGATGTAAAGCAAAGGAACAATTACTTTAGGATACATCTTGCTAACAATGCACAAAATAAAT